CCCACAACAGATCCCACAGCACCTCGACTCCATCATCTCCCAAACATTTCCACACTTCTGCTGATATTTCATCCGGTCCTGTGGCCTTACCCCTCTTCATCCTCCTCAAGGCTCTCTTTACCTCCTCCCTACTAATCTCAGGTGCATCCCTCTCGTTCGCTGCCCCCTCTCCGAAAACCCTTCTCTCATTCTCCTCATTCAAAAGCTTTTCGAAATATATCCTCCATCTATTCTTTATTTCTGTCTCATCACTTAGTACGTATCCTTCCTCATCTTTAATCTGTTTTATTTGTGTAATGTCTTTAGTTGCTTTATTTCTCCTTTTCGCCAACTTATAGATCTTTTTCACTCCCACCGGTGTTTCCAATTCTTCGTAGATGTCATTTACTGCACTCGCTTTTGCCTGCACAACTGCCTTCTTCGCTTCCTTCTTGGCTGTTCTTGCTGCCTCTCCATCCTCCTCACTGCCCGATGAATCCCAATTTTTCTTCGCCTCCTTTCTTTTTCTTTACTTTCTCCTGCACTATTTATTATTTGGTAGTTGCCACCATCCCTAAGTTTTAACTACTGACTGACCGGAAGGAAAACAACCAGTCAGTATAACTCTGCTACCCATGCTAAGCGACTGACCGTCACTTTTGTAAAGCTTACCAGCTCCGAAATCCAAAGTTCTACCACAGATCCAAACCCATGCCTCACTATCTAAAAAGAATGTTTATTACTAAATTAAGCTGTGGCTAAATTCTCTGTGGCTTTCTAGTAGAATAAGAAAAAAAAAGTACATATTTTGCAGTGTGTTTTATAAAATTTATCTGGTGTATACTGTTTGGTTTTCCAAATTTAAAATTAAGGCAGTTATAATTTCTATTAGATATATATTAATCATCTCATCTTGAAACCTATTTGATATAATTATCATAAACGAATATTAAATTATATGTTAATGGCGATCAAGAAAATTATGAAAACAAACAAATATATGTAAGTCATACTTAAGCAAAACTGCTTGAATTATAGACAAACATAATATTCAAAGTCTCTTCTTTATTTGTTTATTTTCCTTTTCTAAATTGAATTTTCGATTAGTATGCAGTTAAACGAAAAACATTCAAGCGACAAACTTAATAAAAGTTTAAAATTTTGCATTTCTTTGCTCTCGGCTTAACATATGATTATAACTATTATTTTCAATAAACTTATTTAGCTTCGATAATCTATCAGGATGAAACAAAAAATACTTACACATAACTACGCACAAAAATATTGCAACACCTAAAAACTTACCATAATTTTCACTACAAAATACATTAGCAAAGTTTTGGAAATCGTCCATGGATCTCTATAAAAAACAAAACAAATTGCCAACATGAACTTGAATTTCAACATTAACTGCAACATCATTCTTGAAAAGAACAAATGTATTAACAATCAACATGACATCATGTTCTATTCAAACTGAGAATAATAAAACGAATCATAAAAGTGAAAAAAAAACAACAAAGAATCTAATTACATATAATTTAGGATCGAGAGAAATTTGTTAGATTTAAATCTAGAAGTCCTCATTTTATTAAACTGCCCAAATGCATGGTGTAGTGACATTCAGTCAATCTACTGATATTTGTTATTAAATATACTTTAAAAAGACAGAAGCAGATTCATTAATTTAAGTTCTATGGTTTCACTTTTTTATTCTTTTAACAATACATTTTACAAATAAAATTAGTAACCATTTTGTTATTCATTAATAGAGGTCTTGTTTTAAGTACTAACTAAAAATAGCACTCTGGTTTCAGTTTTGTTTTTTTGTGATATAGTACACTATTTAAAAAAATAATATTTTATTCCAAAAATCTATTTGTTAACATAAAGATAAAAAAACAAGTGTTTAAAAATCAATTAATTCATTTTCACACCAATCTAATTTCAAATTATTTTTTTAAGTACATTTCTTAAAATAAAAAACAATAAATTACAAAAGGGTACTTAATCAGGCAGTAGGATTACTTATAATTTCAGGTTTCATACTCACAAGTTCCTCTTTAGCTCTGCAAAGTTCATCTATACAAACGAGTATCGCCTTTTGATGGAATTCATCTTGAACACCCATATTCTAGTGAAAAAAACACATAGAAAACAATTATTACAGCTATTAATTAGCCAACAATATTATTACGTACACCACAAAACATTTTTCCATTTGGAAGTCATTCCACAATTCACACCACGGAGACAAAAATTACATTAACACTTCAATTCCTTTCAGAGTTGAATAAAAAAAATTTTACAACATTCACTTTGATTATATCCTCTTATTCACGAGTCTTATAAGTACTGAAATTAAAAAAAACAAACTCAGCAAAGGTTAGTAATGTCCTAGAACAAACTTTTCAACACACAAGACTGACTCCCAAAACTGTCGCAGCCCTAAATATAAGTACAACCATTTATGTATAAAATATTCTGTCAGTTCTTTCTTTTCATGAAATCCCACAGACCAGCAAGGTAGTTGTGATGGACCGACATTGGTCCGAGGACGAGTGGTTGTAAAACAGTATTCTAAACCATGAAACAGGTAAACAGTCACTTCAAGGTTCATTCAAATGACTTCCAAGAATATCAAAAATAATGCTTCATCTTATCTCCAGAGGAAGAGGAAAATGTTACGAAATAATAATAATACTTCTGAGTCTAACTGTTAAACTATGAAGGATTAACATAAAGTAAAAAAAAAAATGTTTCATATGAAAACAAACTATAAAATATAATCTCCCAAACAAGAGGATGGATCTTTAATATTTGTCTACATTTTCCTAAGTACCTAGATATCCAGGTAAACGTTTTTTTTATCTGGAGATTTAAGCATAAATTTTGAATTGAATTTTTCTGTGGAAAGCTAAAAACCTTTAAAATTTTCCATGATTTAATTTCAAACAGAAAACATTTTCAGTTGTATGAAATAAAAAAAACAGATAAAATCACTGAGAAAATCCTGAGAAACTTTTGGCATACTAAGTATTTTCTCCTCGATTCACATTTTCAGGTTTCGGTGACTTTGTTTTCATTACCGAATATCTGAAATGTTATGCTGCGTTAATTATGAGTTTGATCTACATCTTATTTCTATACGAATGTCCTGTTAAGGACCACCTGTGGCCAATTCCAGTGTAAGTTCAAGCACTGTTGACATTGGCTGACAAACTTAGGCATAATTTTCAGTTCGAAAGTAACACTTTATTTATTTTAGAACTGGCAAATACGAACATGATACCCATACCTCCTAATACTATGCGTATTTTGTATACAAAATTTTGATTTTTAATGCATTTTTGTGTAAAAAATTAGTATTTATGCAGTCATGAAACTTATCTTGAGCACCGTAAAATTTTACTTGTTTGTTTGTTGTTAAGAGCAAAGCTACAAAATGGACTATCTATTCTCAACTCACCATGGGTATTAAAACCCAGTTTTTAGTGTTAAAAGCCATCAGACTTAAAACTATGCCAGTGAGGGTCATTTATTTTATTACTCTATCAACTTCTCAAACTATAACCAAGTTTATCTTTAATAAATTTTACTTTTCAGTAGTTTTCATGTTGCAAATAAAAATCTGTTTATTATTCTATCTTCATAATTAGCAATTCAAAGTATTAGCTAACAGTATTATGACCAGTCAAGTCTTACAGTTTTGATCTGTATAAATTCTCATCAGTCCGACTAGATCAACAATATGGAATTTTATCAAAATGAGATTCTTGTGTATGCAGACGTGTTAAAATTTTAAATCTTGTTACCCATTACAGAAGCTGTGAATCATCAGATATAACAGGAAACCAACAAGACTCACTAAGTACTCACAAAAGTTTCAGTTTCATACAACTTCTAAAAATTCAAATATAGAAAAATAAACAGTGGAATCTTTAATAAATTAGAGTAACATGTTCGGTTGTGGATAAAATAAATTCCATAACTTACAGAGCTAAAAAGAAGAATTAAGAGGAGATTCGACTGAGGTGTTTAAGATTATCAAGTAATTTGAGAGCATCGATGCATCATTTTTTTTCATTCTTAATAGTGGTTGAGAAAGGTAGGACAAAAAGACACAAATATAAATTTTGGCAGGTTAAGAGTCATCTTCAGCTTAAGACAGTTTTATTTTTCTAACAGGGTGGTTGACCTTTAGAACGGGATGTGGTGGATGCAGTAAATGGAGTTTAAGGGAAGCCTTGATAACTATTTAAATGATAATGGCTGGATTTGAGTTTCTTTGTTGCTGTTTAAAATTTAGCACGATGTCCCGGAAAGCTGTGGTTTTATCTCAAAAGCAAAATCAATACCTTAAACGTCTATCCACTTACAAATAATTTCTCTTTATCCAATAAGAACAGGTCTGAACCTCTGATGTTTTTAAACCCAAAGATCTCGGCATAATGATAAAGGTTTGAGGCAGCCACCCATTCTGCGACATTGGCTGCTGACCACGGAATTGACGGCTGTAAGAAATAAGACTTTACGTGTAACACAGACTTGTACATTCTCAAGAATAATAAACTAATCACAAAATAAACAACAAAAAACATATGCTAATCAATACAATAAAATACGAGTGTATACAGTGCCATACTACAAAAGTTATTCTATATATGTATCCATAGAATTACATATTTCAAACCTTGTTACAAAATATTTATTGTACTTAGAGACATATCAACATTTAGAAATTATATGCAAACATTTCTTATCATGTTTGTCTTTAGCAGATAAAAGATTGAATAATAATACACTTTTGGACGTAGTTTCAGTTTTAGCATTTAAAAACTTATAAACACACTTTGCAAAATCATATTTACTTTAAATATCAAAAAAAAGTTTTGTTTTAGCATGTGTTGTAAGAACGGTGCTAAAACAGATTCAGCATATCTTGCCCAATAGATATTAATTAATTAAGAAAAACAATGATTAATTGTGTTACATGAATGTAAAATGTTGAGCTTCTCACTCGGCAACAATCAGTGAAGGTCAACTCATGACATCAACACTGCTGGAAAGTTCTTGCTACACCTCTTGTTGTTGTTACATGGTTTGCTACTTTTTATTTCCAACTATGCCTTATTGTGGCCCGGTGGTTAGGGCGCTCGACTCGTAATCTGAGGGTTGCGGGTTCGAATCCCCATCACACCAAACATGCCAACTTCTGCCTTTGCCTGGTTCCAAGTCCAGGATGACAAAGGGGGAGGGTTGGGCGCGGGGCTAGCAACTCCACCCCGTAAAAAACAACCTGCTACAAGTAAGTGGAACAACACCTTCCGTTAGCGAGGTGCTGTTGCGGCCCTATGCTCTACTGGGAGTTTACAGGAATAGAAAAAAAAAAATCCCTTATTGTTGTGTAGTGTAGTATAAAAACAGGGAGAAGTTTCTTTAACTATCCCAAAGATGAGAAAATGATGAAGCTGTGGATGGAACAAGAGAGACGCAAGACATGGGAGCCCAGAGAAACAACTGTTTTATGCATAGACTATTTTTAAAGAATGGACTATGAGACAACACCTGAAAAGTATAGGTCTCAACTGTAATAACAGATCAATGAGAAATGCTGTTTCATACCTCTTCTGTTATAAGTGTGTAAAAAGAAATATCACTGAGAAGCAGTAAAGGGTGCAGTTAAATAACTGAACATTTGTATATGTTGTACATATGTTCTTGTCGAGTTCCAGTTCACATAAAACTGATGGTTCCTTTTCTTTCTCACTTATTAACTCACAGTTGTTATTAAATATCTTTCTTTTTAATTTCTGATGAAAACATCATTCTTCTGTGTCACCAGTTTTTGTTTTTATGAACGTTAGCAACTGCTTTGATTGGAGACCCATAAACGAAACCTTGATGGTTCAGTCGTAAAACAAAATGTAATGTTCAGCATATATTTGGGTGATGGCCATTATTGGAGTAGATTAGCTTTACTGTGATGTGCAATCATACGATTTTTCAATGTTGTATAAAACATAGTCCGTGTTTTAATCCGTCTCCTTCAATTGTGTCACTGTCTGTTGTAAAGTTGGGCCTTTCTTCATGACCTTCATACTCTTTTCTGGCACAATCTGATAACCCTGGACACAAATATATTCACCTCATCCTTTAGAACTTCATAATCCTCATCTGATGACAACACGGTGTTTATAATCAAGGACTTGAACAAAAATGTGCACATGAAAAGTACCATTGTGAATAAAGACAAAACAGCCTGAGATAAACTTGTTCAGGATAAAAATTTACATGTTAATTTTCCAGCTATTTATACATAATGTTGCAGTTATTTTCTTTCATTAGCAGGTTTTTAAAATTATCTGATGAAAATAATTCAATGTCCACTCCACTTAATCTATAATAAATTAGTTTATTTCCACCTTTATTGTTTCTACAACTTAGAAGTTTGAACACATGTACACCGTCATAAATTGTTGTAGGCCTATGTTACAAATGATGTTCAAACTTCACTAAAAATATAGGACTAATGTAAAATCAAATCAATTTTTTTGCCCAAAGTAGCCACATTAGCTAATACACTGATTGATTCACTCCATTATCTTCTGAAACCTAATTAGTAATTAACATGTCTTGGTAATAATCCAGGTATAAAATTTACAAAATAAGAAAATGTCTACACTTGACCTTTAACTAAAATAACAAACGAAACAATAACACAAAACGATAATGTCTATTACGACAGCGGAAGTCACGTAACGCTAGTAATACGTCATGAGCTACTAGAAAATACATGTCCCTTCGTGAAGCCTCGAGTGTTTACTGGTGTACGGTATTCTTGTATATAAGACCGCCAACAAGTGACGCCAACAAGGTAATTGAATTGCAGACAGAGACAGAGACGTAACGTCTTTCTTTATTAATTAATGTCAGCCTTAAACATTAATGTGTGTGTTATTTTAAATTATTTGAGTTTTGATCAGTTTATCTTGATAATATAAATTATATGGATTCAAAAACACATACATTTTCTAGTTTTTGTTCTTTTAATTACTCACAAACACATTCATACAAATCAATATTCATACCAATTACCCTTGAAAGGTGTAATATTAATAGCCAGGCCTAACCTAAGTTTAAAGTTTAACAACTCTACATATGCCATACTTAAATCACACTTCAAACCTCTATACAATCCTGCCATATTAGTTCAGTAACAGCTCTACACATTTCTGTCTTAATAAACAATCGATACTCATAACCAGCTATAAACTTAAGTAACAACTCTAAATATTCCTAATATACTGTTACGTCTCCGTTCGTTAATTAACATTCCGTAACTTCGTTCCGACGAAACTTTAGCGACACAAGTCCTTACTTAATAAAACTGGTTTATTCTTTCCGAATATAACTTTACGATACACTTAATTTCAACAATCGCGCTAAAACAAACTCTATAACAACGAACGTTAACTTAAACAATACGTCTCTCTCTGACTGCAGTTCAATTACTCATTACCTACACACACATTCTATGATTCCGTCACGTTGTCACCCTCTTATATATACCAGACTCCCCTATATCTAGTAAATGCTAGAGCAT